ATATTGTTTAGCGGTTTGTCCAACTCAATAGTTCAGATTTCTACATTCCATTCTAATTTCATTGTACGTCGGTATATATATATATATATATATATATATATATATATATATATATATATATATATATATATATATATATATATATATATATATATATATAGAGGCAGGTACAGTGTATGGGTGAGGGTGAGGGGAGGGTCGCCGCCGTCTCAGTGCCGCCACCCACCAGCCCCCAAGGCGGGGTACGGGGGGAAGGGGGGAGTGATGGGGGAGGCTCTCGAGCTGCCTACAGTGATGTTAGTGGAAAGTGAGTGCGTTCATAAGCAAATCGGTGAGTGTAGTGTTAAAAACAAAGTGCACTAGTGATTTCCCCAAGTGTTTGATAGTGTGTAACAAGTGTGACGGCAGCCTCCCTCGTGTGCCCACCCTCCACCACCCCCCTGCCCGCCATCTTCCCCCACCCCGCTACCTGCGCCCTACCCAGCCAGCCGCCCATCAACACACAGCCTACCCACACACGGTGCCCAGGCCATGCCCAACCCCCCCAGGAGGGTAATGCTTGCCGTGTTACTCTCCATCTGGGAAGAAGAGGGTGCACTCAGCGGGCAGCCAGGCGTCATCACATCTAGGCATGGCACATGTCGCACCTGACACACAGCCTCTTTCCAGCCAAGAAGATGGCCACCCAAGAGGGAACTGTCAAGTGTGTGACAGACGGTATCGTCTCAATTCAAATGGAACTGTCCGCTATCATTCTCTCAATTCAGGTGGTTGTCTAGGGTCTAGGCGCCTGCCCCGGGGCAATGACGATGGACAACCTGCTGCAGGAGCGAGGAACAATACCTCCCTCAACTTCATTTCAGCAGATAATCTGCTTGAAGCAGTCAAAGTGACGTCCACCAGGACCTTGCCCCACATCCCCAAGGCTGCCCGTCATCAAGCAGCAGCCAAACTCACCAGTCTGCTGACAAAGGTCAACATTGCTCCTAGAACCATTGGAGCATGGCACAATCTCCTTCTATTTGGGAATGCATGCCTAGCATTACCGCCCAGGAGAGACAAGTCATTAGCAACCTCTGTAATCAGAGCTCTTAATGAATTCCCCAGAGCAGACAACCTGGTCCGCCTCCCCCCTCGTGCCAAGAACACCAGCCGCAGGACGACCAACAATAACTCACCTGAGAACCACAAAATGAGAGCACAGATCACCAGGAAAATAGAAGAGGGCAATACCACAGGTGCCATCAGAATCATGACCAGCGATGACACTATTGCCCCCAGGAACGCCACGACAGCAGAGGCTCTTCAAGACAAACACCCACCCAGAGCCCCCGACAGCAGCAGGGATCCCCAGGAAAACAATGCTGGCATAGAACCCTTGACTGTTCGAGAATCTGAGGTGTACAAAGCAGCCATGTCTTTCCCAACAGGTTCAGCAGGGGGCTTTACAGGCCTAAGACCCCAGCACATCAAACAAATGCTGAACCCGGTGCTTGGAGATGCTGCAAAGGATCTTCTAGTGGAACTTACCAGATTCTCCAACATGTGTTTGGCTGGCGGCATCCCTGAGGACATCAGGCCTGTCTTTTATGGAGCAGCACTCTGTGCTCTAAAGAAAAAGGATAGGGGTATCAGGCCCATTGCCGTTGGCAACACCCTCCGACGCCTTGTAGCTAAGGCTGCAGTGAGATCTATCAGCCAGGAAGCAGCCACCTTGCTGAAACCTCATCAGCTCGGGTTTGGGATTCCCCTAGGTTGTGAAGCTGCAGCACATGCAGCGCGGGCTTACATTGTTTAATCTCCCGGACCAGAAGGCACTAGTAAAGCTTGACTTCAAAAATGCCTTCAATCAAGTCAGACGAGACGCTGTCCTCAGGGCTGTACACAACCATTTCCGTCCCCTTTACCCATTCATCCGATCGTGCTACAGTGGGGACTCTAAGCTTCTTTTTGGGGAGCATGAAATAAACTCCTGTGAAGGTGTCCAACAAGGTGACCCCTTAGCCCCCCTCCTTTTCTGCCTAGCTATCAAAGAGGTCACTGATAGTCTGACAAGCGAGCTAAACATCTGGTACCTGGATGATGGCACTCTAGCTGGAACTCCGGAAACCATTTTGGGGGATATAAGGAAAATCCAGGAGCAGGGAGCAGCCTTAGGCCTCATTCTCAATGCATCCAAATGTGAAATAATCTCCCGCAACCCAGACATCACTGGGCAAATACAAAATGCTCTTCCAGACATTCTCGTTGTCGAACCACCGGACTGCACTCTCCTGGGTGCCCCCATTGGCCCACGAGCAATCGAGGAGGTCCTGGCTGCAAAAATCACTGACCTAAAGAGAATGCAGGACAGGATTGACAAGATTGATGCCCATGATGCTCTCTTTCTCCTTACAAGATGCCTGTCTCTCCCTAAGTTGACCTACTTTCTGAGATGTTCTCCATCCTACAGCAGCCCTAAGTTAAATGTGTATGACACCCTTCTGAGGTCCATGCTGGTGAAAGTCCTGAACCTGCCATTGGACGACTCTCAGTGGGAGCAAGCAACCCTTCCTGTAAGACTCGGCGGCCTTGGTGTCCGCACAGCCTCCCAAATTGCTCTACCAGCCTTCCTTTCCTCCTCTCATGCATCGCACGACCTCGTCAGAGATATTTTACCTGCAACCCTGAGAGATTCAGCAGGAATACACGATCCTGCTTTCACTGAATGTTCAAATCAGTGGAATGTTCTTGCAGCCCCAGCAACCATTATAGAGCCAACAAAACAACACAAACAGTCCGGCTGGGACCACCCTCTAGTGGAAAAAGTAGCTGATGCCATGCTAAGCGTCGCAACATCAGACAAGGAGAAAGCCCGCCTCAGAGCAGTGCGTGCCCCCCATGCAGGAGACTTCCTCCTGGCAGTACCCATGTCTGCAATGGGCACGCGCCTAGATCCAGAATCCCTTCGAGTAGCAGTGGCCCTCCGCCTTGGTGCCCCAATTCACACTGAATACAAGTGTATTTGCAACAGGGTGGAAGCAGACCAATACGGACTGCATGGGTTGCATTGCGGAAGCACAAAGGGCTGGCATGCAAGACACAACGAGGTCAATGACATCATCAAGAGAAGCCTCGTCTCAGCTGGGTGCCCAGCGGAGAGAGAACCTCGCATCCTAGGGGTCCAAAACCCGGATTTCCCAGCACTTCGCCCTGATGGCATCACCATATACTCATGGAAGGAGGGTAGACAGTTGGTGTGGGACTACACATGTGTATCCACCCTGGCTGACACCTATGTACACTTCGGAGCTGATCAAGCAGGTGGGGCGGCCAACCACAGGGAAACAGCAAAATCACTCAAGTACAGGCGACTGGAAGGTCAATACCTCTTTGTTCCCATAGCGTCTGAGACGCATGGCCCCTGGGGCAAGAGTGCCTTGGGATTTCTCAAGGAATTGGGGTCCAAGCTCATTGACGTCACCAGAGACCCAAGGGCTTCCAGTTTTTTATTTCAGCGTCTCAGTGTGGCGATCCAGAGGGGAAATGCTTGCTGCGTCCTCGGTTCCTGTCCAGAAGCGGAGGAGCTTCAAGAGATCCATAACCTTTAGGCATTTGTCTTGTATGTTTTGTAACCTTTAAATACACAATAAAGGAAAAAAAAAAAGGGAAGGGGGTGGTAGGAGAAAAGCACACAGAAACTGTATTGGAGGGGACCCACATTCCCTCCAATGCGTTATGTGTGGTTTCCTCCGAGGCTATGGGTCCCCCTTCTTCCAGCCAGAGGTGGTACTCCCTTCCCTATATAAAAAAAAATATATATATATATATATATATATATATATATATATATATATATATATATATATATATATATATATATATATATATATATATATATATATATAGGAAGGGAGTACCACCTCTAGCTGGAAGAAGGGGGACCCATAGCCTCGGAGGAAACCACGCATAACGCATTAGAGGGAATGTTTAGATCCCCTCCAATACAGTTTCTGTGTGCTTTTCTCCTACCACCCCCTTCCTTGAATATTTTTTGTGCTTTATTATGCATTTGATGGTTACAAGATATACATGGGTTGATACAAAAATAATAATGCAAAAAGGTGCTTAAAGGTTATGGATCTCTTGAAGAACACAACATTGGGAAACAAACAGTTTTGTATTGTATATGTACAGAAAATAAGTTGTATCTGTAGTGTACCTATACTGTATCTATATTGAGAATGACCTGAACCTATAATAAATCTGAACTGTACTTGTACTGTAGGTACTTGTATTGTACTCGCACTGTAACTGTACTGTAATCGCACTGTACCTGTAGTGAAAATACATGTCATATTACGGAAGTAATAGAGCTAAAAAATTCTTCCTTATCTCTGTTTGCTTGTAAGAACATAAAAATAATGAAGTATACAAAACTGCAGAGTACAATAACGACAGTACAAGACTTTTACTGATATTTTAATATATTACCTGTAGAGCACTGCAAGGTAGTCAGTTAGCTTTATATTATGAAACACCATATACCTACGTCTAGTATAGCACACATGTACTATATTAGGCATCAGATATCGTGTATTAGGCCTATGAAGGTTAGGTTTGTTTAGTTTGTCAAATAAAACAAGTAAAATATATATATATATATATATATATATATATATATATATATATATATATATATATATATATATATATATATATATATATATATATATATACTATGGTCCGCATCGTTACTATAAGTACTACCAAAACAGGAGGATGGACTGTATATATTAACACGTCGCTCTATTAATCCTTTAGTATTTTAAATTGTCCCTATGTTACACATTATTTCTCATAAAGTTTATCACTTAAATTCACCATTAGCTTTCTCTCTGTTTCTCTCTCTCAGTCCGTCACTAAGAGGGAACCCTTTCCATCAAACATCTCTGATATCTGACATTAATTCCGTTTCATCTGTACTTCCCATTGCTTTGCCTTCACCTTCAAGAACTCACCTGAAGAAGGAATGGCCGTAGATAGCGGAGAGGAGAGAGAGGATGCCCTGAGGCAGCTCCGTGGCCAGGAACAGCAGTAGCACCGTCAGGAGCATCCTCGTCGTCTTCTCCGTCAGCTTTTCCATTCGGGGGAGCTTCCTCTCCGTCTCCATGGAAGGTGTGCTCATCTTGATCAGGTTCTCCTGGTGGGGTGGTAGCAGAGTCAATTCTCATTAGCGTAACAGGAAACTCCTCGCCCCAGTTCACCCAGTAGTAATTAGATACCCATGGTTGTTAATCGATTGACAGATCGTGTTCAAACAAATAGGTTAAGGTCAACCATGAGTTAGGAAGGGAAATCTATCAGCAGCAGACAGGCATCAGAAGTCGCTTAGACCTGTACCATCCTGTGTTAAAAAGATAAATAGGGAATGCAAGAACACAAGAAAAAATGAATGCACTTGGCTTGTTGAGACCATGCATGACCGGTGTTTACACCAGTATGTCTACTTGGCCCATGCATGACCGGTGTTTACACCAGTAGGTCTACTTGGCCCATGCATGACCGGTGTTTACACCAGTAGGTCTACTTGGCCCATGCATGACCGGTGTTTACACCAGAAGGTCTACTTGGACCATGCATGACCGGTGTTTACACCAGTAGGTCTACTTGGCCCATGCATGACCGGTGTTTACACCAGTAGGTCTACTTGGCCCATGCATGACCGGTGTTTACACCAGTAGGTCTACTTGGACCATGCATGACAGGTAAAAAACACAAGTAGGTCTACTTGGACCATGCATGACCGGTGTTTACACAAGTAGGTCTACTTGGACCATGCATGACAGGTGTTTACACCAGTAGGTCTACTTGGACCATGCATGACAGGTGTTTACACCAGTAGGTCTGCTTGGCCCATGCATGACAGGTGTTTACACCAGTAGGTCTACTTGACCCATGCATGACTGGTGTTTACACCAGTAGGTAAACTGGGGTTCATGCATGACAAGTGTTTACTCCAATACGTTACTAAGCCCATGCATGAAAACTACTCACCTAATGGGGTGCTTGCGGGGTTTGAGCTTCAGCTCTTTGGTCTCGCCTCTCAACTGCCAATCAACTGGTGTACAGATTCCAGAGCCTATTGGGCTCTATCATATCTACATTTGAAAATGTGCATGGAGTTAGCCACCACCACATCGGTTCCTAATTTATTTAATTTATTAACTACTCTGACAATGAAAAAAAGGGATTTCTAATGTCTGTGGCTCATCTGGGTTCTCAGTTTCCACCTATGTTCTCTTGTTCGTGTTCCACCAATGATACATAGTTTGTCTTTGTCCATTCTGTCAATTCCCCTGAGAATTTTGTAGGTGGTGATCATGTCTTCCCTTACTCTTCTATCTTCTAGAGACGTGAAGTTTAATTCCCGTAGCTTTTCCTCGTAATTCATACAACTCAGCTCTGGGACTTGTCTGGTGGCATACCTCTGAATCTTTTTTAATTTTGTCTCGTATTTAACTATGTATGGATTACAGGTTGGAGCTGCATACTCCAGGATTGGTCTGACGTATGTGGTACAAGGTTTCGAATGATTCCTAAGTTTTTATAGGCAGTTCTTATGTTTTTCAATCAAGAATATGATGATATCCTTTAGATGTGGGCTTGTGGGGACAGGTTCGATGTAATATCCACCACCTTTCTCTGTACTTGACTTTTGTCGGATTTCACCACCCAGATGGTATCTTGTGTTCGGCCTCCTGCTCCCTTCCCCTAATTTCATTATTCAACACTTACTCGAGTTAAATTTAAGTAGCTATTTTCTAGATCATTCCTCCAGTTTGTCCAAGTCGTCTTGTAGTCTTTGTCTATCTTCCTCTGTCTTGATTCTTCTCGTAATTTTAGCATCATCAGCAAACATAATGAGTCTATACCCTCTGGAAGATCGTTTTCATATATCAGAAACAAGATGGGTCTAAGTACAGAGCCCTGTGGGACTGCTGATGACATGTCGCCACTCTGAAGTCTCCGCTCTCATGGTAACTCACTATTTTCTGTTGCTTAGATACTCCTTTTGCAAGTGGAGCACCTTACCTGTTATTCCTGCCTGTTTATCCATCTTTTGTAACAATCCCTTATGGGGTACTGTGCCAAAGGCTTTCTGACAGTCTAAGAAAATGCAATCTGGCCACCCTACTCTTTCTTGCCTAACTTTTGTTGCCTGGTCATAGAATTCAATTAAACCTGTGAGGCACGATTTACCATCCTTGAACCCATGCTGGTGGTGTGGTACAAAGCTCCTCTCCAGATGTTCTACGATCTTTTTCCTCACTATCTTTTCAATCACCTTACATAGTATACATGTTAGGAAAGCTGAGTTCAGTGCCTCTTGCCTGTCACCATTTTTGTATATTGAGAATATATTAGTTGTTTTCCTGCTTTCCAGTAGGTCTCCTGTTTCCAGTGACCTGTTATACACCATAAAGAGTGGCACACAATTCTTCACTATCTTTTAGTATCCATGGTAAGATTTGACCAGACTCAACAGCCTTTTTCATTTTCAGTTCCAACAGACTCCTTTTGATCTCATGTCTGGTAAGCTCAAATTCCTCCAAGATTGCATGGCTTACTGCAGCAACCCATCCTCCGAATTGACAGTACGATTTAATACGAAGTGTAATAAGTACAGTTCCTTACTGTCCTATATAGTACATAATTGCACTTATGGGGATGTTACATTTATCTGTTAAGACACTCCGAATTATAGGATAAGTTTTCAAATTTAATTAGTTATGCTAGAGGTTTAAATATCAGGAGTTTCTTTTTCAGTTTTATTAAACAATTGAGATTTTATACAAAATTGGAAAATATCTTGAGTTACTTTACAATTTATTGATATATTTTAGTTTTGTTTTATTAGTTTTATAAAACTGTAATATGAATATAACTATAGGTTAAGTACTAATTGTAATTAAGAAGCAATAAAATGATTACCTTCAAACACTAAGACGGTTAGGTGAGGTCGTGGTTTTCTATTTAGCTTTTCAGGTAAACTCAAATCTTCACAATATATTTGACAGTACGATTTAATAATAAGTGAAAATAAGTACAATTCCTGACTGCTATGAATAGTACATAATTGCACTTATTTGTGATGTTACATTTACCTCCCGATTTTTGGAGGACGGGCTGCTTCTCTCAGTACAGGAAATTTTCCTTGTTCTATTGTGCAGATCTCCTGGAATCTCTTGTTGAATTGTTTCATGAACAGTGAAAGAAGGGAATAGAATGGAATGGAATGCATTAAGTAGTGATGTAGTAGAGGCAGACTCCATTTACAGTTTCTAATATAGGTATGATAGAGCCTATTATGCTCAGGAATCTTTACACCCGTTGATTGACAGTTGAGAGGCGGGACTAAAGAGCCAAAGCTCAATCCCTGCTAGCACAACTAGGTGAGTACACACATACACACACACACACCCTCCTTTCTCGCCCACCCCTCAAGCCCTCCCTCCTTCCCTACCCACCCATGCCCCCCCCCCCCCTTTTCCCCACCCCCAAGTCCTCCCTTCTCCCCTCCCCCCTCCAAGCCCTCCCTTTGCCCCTACCCTCTCCAAACCAGATCCTCCAAGCCCCCCCCCCCTCACAACCCAGGTCCCTCCTCACCCTCAGACCCCCTCACAACCCAGGGCCCATCCTCCTCCCTCCCCATCCCAGACCCTCCATGTTTACCTTCTTGAGGTTATCTTGAGATGATTTCGGGGCTTTAGTGTCCCCACGGCCCGGTCCTCGACCAGGCCTCCATCCCCAGGCCTCCACTACCTACTCTAGTGGAGTCAACAGAAAATGAGGATGGACAGAAACGAGTCAGCTTCTAGGTGATGTACTCGAACATTGATCGGATTACAAGCAAGGCAAGTGAATTTAGGGAAAGAGCACAAGAAGTAAACCCAGATGTGATTGGACTCACAGAAACAAAACTTTCAGGAATCATAACAAATGCGGTGTTCCCCCAGGACTACATTGTAATAAGGAAATAGAGAGAGAGGGTAGGGGAGGAGTTGGAGTGGCCCTACTCATGAGAAAGGAATGGAGTTTCAAGGAGATGGTTATCCAAGGCTGTGAAGGGTTTAGAGGCTACATAACAGGCACCATGGCGATGGGAGGACCAAGAATAGTAGTAGCAGTGATATATAACCCTCCACCAAACGACAGATGACCCAGGCAATAGTATGACAGAAACAACATGGCAGTTAACAATATAATTGAGAGGGCAGCCTCTGCTGCCTGTAGAATTCGATCCCATCTGCTCGTCATGGGTGACTTCAATCACGGAAGGAAAGACTGGTAGAACAAGGATCTGCATGGAGGAGAGGAAACATGGAGAGCTAAACTACTGGAGGTGGCAAAAAGAAACTTTTTAAGCCAGCATGTCAGGGAACCCACAAGAATGAGGGGAAACAATGAACCAGCGAGAATCGACCTAGTCTTCACTCTGACTCCGACATAAGGGAAATTGACTTTGAGGCCCCAGTCAATGAGCGATCACAGTGTACTGACATTTGAATATCTGGTCGAAGAAAGGCTAATGTACTCGAGAAAGGGAACTGACAGCAAAAGGCTAGCATTCCGTTAGGAAAACTATAAGGAATTGAGAAAATTCCTAACAGATATAACATGGGACACATAGCTGAGGGGGAAAGACGGCCCAAGACATGATGGAATATCTTACACAGAAATGTAAGAAGGCAGCAGAAAAGTTTATCCCGGCCCAAAAGGTAAAAAATGAAATACAGATGAAAAACCCATGGTGTAATCAGAGATGTAAGCTAGCTGAGCAAGTAAGTAAAAGAGCATGGAGAAACTATAGAAATAACAGGACACTTGAGAGCAGAGAAGGATACCAGAGAGCCAGGAATGAATACGTCAGGGTGAGAAGAGAAGCAGAAGGGCAATATGAAAACGACATAGCAAGCAAGGCTAAGACTCAACCCTAATTGCTATACAGCCACATCAGGAGAAAGACAACAGTGAAAGAACAGGTAATGAAACTGAGGATAGGGGCGGACAGATTCACTACAAACGACAAAGAAGTGTGCGAGGAACTCAATAGGAAATTCCAGGAAGTCTTCACATTACAGCAAGGAGAAGTTCCAGAAATAAGAGAAGGAACAGTTAACCAGGTATCACTAGAGGAATTTGAGATTACCAGTGGGGATGTAAGGAAGCTTTTGTTAGAGTTGGATGTGACAAAGGCTATAGGCCTGGATGGAATATCAAGAAGGGATACTAAAGGAAGGAGCAGAAACACTGTGCCTGCCCAGTGGTGTATAACAAATCACTGGTACAGTTGTACTGCCAAAAATTTGGAAGACGGCTAACGTAGTCCCAGTATACAAGAATGGGGATAGACAGGAGGCACCGAACTACAGGCCAGTATCCTTAACTTGCATACCACGCAAGTTATTGGAGAAAATTGTGCGAAAAAAAGCTAGTGGAATATCTGGAGCGGGGGAATTTAGTGACACAACACCAACACGGTTTCAGGGATGGCAAGTCATGCTTCACAAGATTAATTGAATTCTATGATCAGGCAACAAGCATCAGTCAAGAAAGAGAGGAGTGGGCAGACTGCATATTTTTAGATTGCCAGAAAGCCTTTGACACAGTTCCACACCAGAGACTAGTGCGAAAGCTGGAGATGCAGGCAGGAGTGAAAGGGAAGGTACTCCATTGGATAAGGGAGTACCTAAGTAACAGAAGACACCGAGTCACTGTGAGGGGTGAGGTCTCAGATTGGCGAGACGCCACCAGTGGAGTCCCGGTAGGGTTCAGTCCTTGGACCCATACTGTTTCTTATATATATGTAAATGATCTTCCAGATGATATAGAATCATTCCTCTCATTGTTTTCTGATGGTGCAAAAATTATGAGGAGGATTAAGGCGGAGGAAGATAGTATGAAGCTACAAGATGATTTAGACAGACTGAATGAATGGTTCAACAAGTGGCTACTAAGGTTCAACCCGAGTAAATGTAAGGTAATGAAACTAGGCATTGGAAACAGGAGTCCAGACA